GGGGAGAGTGAAAGAGGGAAGAGACGTGGAAACAGGACTCCCACTCTTCACTGTGGTCCAGAGAGGTACAGTGTGTGGGTTTGGCCCTGGCCCTGTCTGTCCTGGTACCTGTCAGGTTTGCAAGGACAGGGGAGGACCCACAAATGCCCAGAGCACCGAGGACATATAGCCACCACGCGGAGTTGTCTGTCAGCCTCTAACTTCACCTCACTGCCACTGTAGATAGGCTAAGCGAGTTTCCCACCCCCCCACCCCCCAGTTTGTTATAGGGCATGTGTGCTCACCAGAGAGACAGAAAGAGAGGGAAAGTGAGAAAGCACCCCCTAATGGGATGGGCCTTATAGTCCATACCACAGTCCCTTCTCCAGTCTCCTCTAGGGATTTGGGGGACATGCACATACACCCACGGTGATTTTCAAACCACTGGGTCTGAGACTCAAACCACTCAGTCAGCCATGCTAACCTGAGGCTAAAAGAGTTACCAAGGGCGGGAACCAGCAGTTAGCGTAATGGCTATGTCGCTGGACTCCCACGTAGTCAACCACGGTTCGTGTCCCGGACCCGGTGGCTTAAAACTCACGCTGGGCGCGTGTGTGTGCGTGCCCAAGATCCCGAGAGGAGAATGGAGGAGAAGGGATTGCGGCGTGACCATCCCCCCTGGGGGGTGATTTCTCGCTTTCTGTCTCTCTCTGTCTGTCTGGCGAGTGCACACGCCCTACAGTGAAAATCTCTCCAAAAAAAAAAAAAGAGTTACCAAGGGTCATGGGGTTCATTTGAGGAGAGTGGGGTGCCAAGCCAGCTAGCTGACTCCAGAGCTGGTGTGGTCTTCCCCTTACAGGAACAGTCCTGGGGATGTTTGCTGTGGATGTAGGAGCTGGAGTAGGGAGATGACATTTCCCAAGAGTGACATCTGCCAACCCCTGCCCCCTTCCAAGGGGCAGGCTTGGAGTTGAGCACTGGGCCTGTATGAACGCACTCTCTCAGGGACCCTGTGAGGTGGCACTGTCTTTATTACTATTATAGAGTTAAGGAAGCAGACACCAGAGGGTAGGAGACTTGCCCAAGAGCACTGGTTGTAAGTGGCAAAGCTATGATCCCAATCCAAACTGTCAGGCTTGAAGTCACCTGTCTCTTTTAGCCAGGCTGTGCCATTAAATGCTCGCTCAGATCTGCTATGTACCCAGGCTGCCTAATTCAGTCCCTGTGACACCTCTGTCCCGTAGGTGCCATTCTTCCCAGTTTATAGATGATACTCCCAGTGGCAGACGGCCTTAGAGCTCAGACCCCCTGGGAGGCCCCTGGGAGGCCGCCCAGCACACATCCTGGGCACATCCTATGCAGCTGGAGAAAAGGGCTCACACCCAGCGCCTGGCAGCAAGAGGGCAGGGATGCGCGCAAGGCCAAGGGCGCCCGCCCCGGGGTGGGGGTGGAGGCGCGGGCACTCACCTCGGGAAAGGCCCCGTCGGCGAAGACCATCAGCAGCGACGTCTTCCCGCAGCCGCACCTTGACCGAAGGCACGCCTGGTGGCACCTCCTCGCCCTCCGCCTGGGCTGCCACCCTCCCGGGGCGGCCCGGGGCAGCGGGAAAAATGGGAGTCGGGCGGCCCCGCGGGCGGGCGGGCAGCGGGCGAACCCAGGTGAGAGGCCTGAGCCGGGACGGAGGCGGTGCCTCGGCCGGTGAGGCGGTGAGGCGTGGCGGGTGGAACTCGGGGCCCCTTCCCTCCCGTTCCATTCGGAAACACTTGTTGAGCACCTACTGTGTGCGCTTGCTCAGGACACTGCTCAGGAGCCACCCTGGTCAGAAGGGAACACAGTAGCTGGACAGTGACAACGGGATGGGTGTGGACAGGGGAGGAAGAGGCACCTGGCCCTCTGGGAAGGAGAAGATGGTGGGAAAGCCATGTCAGCCTACCAGCTACTGGGGACTAGGGTGGGATCCCTCGTATGGAGGAGCAATGCCTTTGTTGAATGAATGAACGGATGAATGAATGAATGTGCATCATCTCTACCCCACCTCCAGCTCTGGAGACCGAGCATGCCACAGTCCTCTATCCGGGTTTTTCAGGCTAGCCAAGAAGAGGGTGACCCAAGCATGCCCTTATGGGTCAGCTGTTGGCATTGCCAGGCCTGGCCTGCCCTCCCTGTACCAGCACCTGGAAGCTTCTCCTCAGGTGGGTGACCACCTAGCGCATCCTGGTTGGGGTGTGATCTAAGGAAAGTGAAGAGCCTTCCATCGATAAAGTGCTTAGAGCAGCGTCTGGTGTGTGGTCAGTGCCATTTGTGAATTATTCTTATTATTTATAACCAACTCAGATCCCCCAGCCTCCACCACCAAGGGTCTCGGGGACCAGAATGGTTCAAGAAAGGTCCCGGCCTTGAGAAGCCCACAGCCTAGAGTGGGAGACAAGCAGGACATCAGCGTAAGGGTGGGGACAGGCAGCAGGGTAGGGACAAGGAAAGGGGCTTCTCACCTAGGTTGGGGAAACCAGGAAACCCTCTGAGAAGACCAGCTGGAGACTTGAGGAAAAAGTGAGATGCATACGGGGAGGGCTCAGCATGTGCAAAGGTATGGAAGTTAAGAGTGGAGAAGCCCTTGCCCCCAGTTCTTCCCTGAAACAGAGGTAGGTTTGGGAATCAGGTGCCTGGATAGCGGAGCACTTTGGATGCCAGGAATAAATCCAACATGGAACTAGAAACTCACGGTCACCTGACCTCCCTCCAGTACCCCTTAGTGGTTGGAGTTTAAATTTTTAAAAACTGGGCACAATGGTCTCCCCAGTCTTGGTCTGGGTGTTTGAAGCTTAAAGGAACAGAGGGCAGAAAAAGTCTTTGGGTTTCTCTTCCCACCCACCACGGTGGTCATGATGTCATCCTCTACCCCATGGAGTTCAAAGCACCTTCAGCCTTCTTTGAACTTTGAACTTCTTTGAACTTCTTTGAGCAGCGTCTGGTGTGTGGTTAGTGCCATTTAAACTTCTTTGTGGCCCAGAGAGGCAGCAGGGTAGGAATCGCTGCTTCCCTGCACAGAAAGGCAGAGCCCTGCTCCCCACTCCTATTCCAGGCTGACCCCCAGGGCTGTGCTCAGTGGCTGACTGCAGCTCCACCTGGATGGAGGAGGCCTCCCCAGGATGCTTCATCTTACAGGTGCTCCTTCTTCCCCGAAACTGCCATAGGGCTGGGCAGTGACTTGGCAACGGGCTGGGTGTGTAGCCACTGAGCAGGGCTTCCACACCAAGGAGTGGTGGGAGGGGCCCCATACCCTGCCTTCAACTGTCAGCCCCAACCTCCTGCTGCTGTCATTGGCCCTTGGGTGGCAAGGCCAGGAGGCAGGTGAGGCCAGACTGGGGGTGGAGGGAACTGAGAGTCAGCAGAGGCGTTTGGCCTTCGTTGCTATAGGGATAATCACTCTAATGACATTCTTCACATCTGTCATGCTTTAGTTTCACTGCACATTTCCTAATAAAAACAGCACCCATTAATGGATTGCAAACTATGTGTAGGCACTGTGTCCTAGGAGGGAGGAATTGCTAGTCCCATTTTGCAGATGAGAAACCTGAGGCCCAGAGAGGTCAAGGTCTTGTCTAAGATCCATAGCTAGTAAGAATCCAGGCTGGAATTTGGATCCAGGCACTCTCTTAACGTCACACCCCAGGTGCATTATTTCATTCAACTCTCAGAGGTGAGGTGGGCAGCACAGGTAATCGGCCTTCCCCTACTTTACACATTTTAGAATTGGGCCTCAGAGAAGGTCAGTGGCTTGTCTTAGGCCAGGAAGATTCAGCCAGAATTTGATCTGATGTCAAGTCCCACCCTGTGTTCATTCTCCCGCACGGGACCTATTAGTCATTGGGCCTTGGAAATTGCCCTGGTTGGCAGGGAATTTCCCCAACAGACATTGGTGGGCCCTCGACTGTACCGTTTCCTGGAGTTTATTTCTAAAGAGGCAGCCCAGGTCACATGGGCTGCCTAGCCAGTGCACTGTTTACAGTTGCTTCTGTGGACTTCTGACCTGTGGGTGACTCAGTCCCTTAAGGCCTCATCCAACCTAAGCTCAGGTTTTATGGGACCTTGCATAGCAGGTTACTGCCCTGGAGACCCTAGGACAGCAGAGGTGGTCAGTCCAACCCTTGGCCTGACATGTCATTCCCCCCTTGGGATGCAGGAGGCCCAATAGGATCTGTCAGCCCCCAGCCCAGCCATGAACACCTCCAGGGCAGGGACCAAAGCTGGCCCATTGTTATAGTCCCAGACTGGGGTGTATGTCTCAGGTCAGCACTCAGCTGGGAGTCAGGATGTTGTGTCCAGTTGACTGCTCAACTGGACAGACAAGAGAAGGGAAGAGGAAGGGCAGAGTACAGGAGAGAAGAAGGAAGGAAGGAAGGAAGGAAGGAAGGAAGGAAGGAAGGAAGGAAGGAAGGTGGGCTGACTCAAAAGAATAAACAAATTGAAGAACTGAATAAAGGAACACATGCTTGCATGGATGAGTACATACAACACATGACCCAAGTGGAGTTCTGCAGACAAGTCACTGCCCTTCAGCTTCCATCTGCTCTAAGGCTCCTCAGTTGACTGCTCAACTGGACAGACAAGAGAAGGGAAGAGGAAGGGGAGAGGACGGAAGAAAAGAAGGAAGGAAGGAAGGAAGGAAGGAAGGAAGGAAGGAAGGTGGGCTGACTCAAAAGAATAAACAAATTGAAGAACTGAATAAAGGAACACATGCTTGCATGGATGAGTACATACAACACATGACCCAAGTGGAGTTCTGCAGACAAGTCACTGCCCTTCAGCTTCCATCTGCTCTAAGGCTCCTCTGGCTTTGACTCCTCTGCCCATTATTCTGACACCCCTCTCCCCAATCTTCTCCTGAAGCCAGGAGTCTTATGCTGTCCCTATCAATTATCTGCTGCCCCCATGTGGCCACTCTGTTCTTTGCACTGCAATCACCCTGGGCTGCCTGCTTTGTTTGGGGCTCCTTTTATTTATTTATTTTTAAGTTTATTGTATTCACGATAAAGAGCACGTATGCATGTAGGCTGGGGAGGTGGGGAGAAAAGGACCTTGTGATAGTTCCCACAGTCATCCAGCTCTTCGATGCGTTTCCAGTTGACTGGGGCTGAGGATCCAAATCCATGGGTGGCCATGTGGCTTCCAGCAGTGTGGTCCAGTACACTACCAACTGTTCTACCTTGGTGGGACCCTGCTTTGGGGATCCTGGCTTGGGGATGTGAGCTATTCGTGGATGGCTGAATGAAGGGAAACTTGCAGGCCAGGGGGCAGAACCTCCCCTGGGGTGCCTTGGCTGGGTGCAGGGGCACTGGAGTGGTGTTCCCAGAGTCCTTTGCTCTGCATCCTCCCCTTGTGCCCTTTCCTCTCCTTCATCCCCAAAACCAGCCTGTGACATATGCACAATTCTTATCCTCCTGACAAATGAGGAAACAGGTAGGTACAAAGAAGAGATCGTCTACCCAAGGTCCCGTAGCTAGCCAGAGGAGAAACAAGCTGGGATTCGATCCCAGGCAGTTGGGCTCCAGAGCCTACGTAGACACACAGAACCCCCGGAGTTAGAAGAGCAGGAGCCTTTGCAGGCCATCTTGTTCAACACCTTCATTCTTCAGTCGATTAAACTGAGGCCCTGAGAGGGGAAGGAACTTGTCACACTGAAAATAAGCAGAAGACCCAGGTCTATTCCAGGTGGAAACGAGAGGGCCTCATCTCCCAGGCTGCCTTTTGTCTGTGCTCCACCAGACAGCCCAACCCCAGCTGCCATCTAACTGGAGCCCAGGGTTGTAACAATGTGGGCCTCCTGTTCCTGCCTCGCCATGACTCCTTTTGAGTGAAATGGGAGGGTCTGTGTTGGATAGGAGTGTGTGGAGGGAGAGGGAGCCCTCTGCCCTTTGGGATCTGCAGGCTCAGACATCTACAGCCAGGAGAGATGAGGTGAATCTTTGAGCTGCTGTAAACGGTGGGCTATAAGGTGGCTCATCCCGTTTCTCCCACACGCAAGACTGGCCTGGGGAATGCTGCTGGTCAGGTCAGTGACTACACACTTATCTTCCTGGGTGGGGCTCCCAGAGGGGTCTGGGACCCTGGAAGCAGGCCCATGGGCGCAGGGCTGGAGGAAGGGGAGGAATAGAGAGGAAGGGGCAGGAGAGAACAGGTGCCTGAAGAGGAAGGTCAGAGAAATTTGGGAGGGTTACAAGCAAGAAGGAGGGAAAGATAGCTTCCCTTGCCTGCAGCTGTCCTGAAAGCACCTGAGTCCTACAGAATGAACCCTAAATCTAAAGGTGGCTCAGAGCTTCCTATCTGCCCACCTGGCCCTCACTGACCAGGGATGTCCTTCTCTGTCACCTCCAAAACTTCATAGACCAACCCCCCAACCTTGGACCAGCTCTTGCTCTGGACCCCTCTATGGCTCCCCACTGCCAGCAGGACAAGGACTTGCCTCACCCTAGACACAGAAGCAAGCCTCCATGGCCCAGGCGCCCAGCCTCTTGAGCCTCAGCCTAGCTGTGTCTCCCTAGGCACACGTGACACCTTCATTCAGGCATTTTTGAGGCCCCTATTCCTCATCTGTGTGTTCTTCTCGCTGCCCTACAAGACTAGCTCTCATGCTTCTCTCTCCTCCAGGAAGTCTTCCCTGGACTCTGCTCTGCCCATGGGCTCCTCAGCAGCCTGTCTCATTGGTTAGCTCTGTGTGTCCAGTTAGGAGGGTGGAGAAGGGGTTCCACAGAAGTTCTTCAGTCCCCCCTTGGAGTGAGCAGACCTCCAGGAAGCTCATTCTTGCCTGTGCTTGAGGTTACATGCTTGTAATCTTCTAGGGAAGGGGGGAAGCCAGAGCAGCCTGGGATCCAGACGGGTTTCTCTGCTGAGGAGCTGGGGAAGGAGACAATCTTACCTAGTGGTCAAGATCACAAGCCCTGGAGTCTGACGGCTTGTACTTGAATCTTAGCTCTGCAGCTTTCTGGCTGTGTGATTTTGAGCTAGTTAACTTCTGACCTCTCCTCTATGTCTACAGAAAGAGAATGACAGGGGCCAGCAGGTGGCGTAGTGGACTCCCACATGGCTGACTGTGGTTTGGATCCTGGACCTGGTGGCTTGTTTTCTCACTTTCTTTCTCTCTTGCTCTGCCCCTCTAGATAAACAAACAAACAAACAAAGTTAAATAAAATAATTCTTTAAAAAAAAAGAGAGAGAGAATGCCAAAAGTACCTACCTTTAAGTGTTCCAGGGTTGCAAGCTTGGTAGCAACTTTCACTGAACTTTTTTTTTTTTTTTAGGAAGATTTTTTTGCCATAAGGCACATTTGCTTACTGGAGAGACAGGTGAGAAATTCCCCCCCTCCCCAGGGGAGCTGGCCATGTTGCAATCCTTTCTCCATCCTCCCTGGAATTTGGGGCACACATGCACATGTGCCCGGCAGGAATTTCAAGCCACTGGGTCTGGTACTCAAACCATGGTGGGCCATGTGGGAATCCAGTGATATAACCATTATGCCATCTGCTGGTCCCAGCTTTCACTGAACTTATAAGGCCCTTCTCTGCTCCAGGCTCCTCTCTTGGTTCTCTTCTTCCTGCTCCCCTTCCCACCTTCTCCCCGACTCCCCCCCCACACACACACACACTTTGCTCTAGCAAGGCAGATATTTGGCTGAGTTTCTGACCACTCCTTTTTTTTTTTTTTCCTGTGCTCTC